ATGATGTTGAATCAGTTTGTGAAGTGAGTCAATTGTGTGGTGGAGTTAAATGTGGTATAGAGGGGGCTATACATGCTGCCAATGATTTATTTGATGACAGTGATGGTGGTATGCTAGTAATGGATGCTAGTAATGCTTTTAATTCAATTAACAGGTTAGCACTCCTTTGGAATGTACGTGTCTTATGGCCTCGCGCCTCCCGATTCATCTATAACACTTATAGGGGCTGGTCCCCATTGATAATGAAAGGGAGCCCTGATGTTATTCTTAGTAAGGAAGGTGTCACACAAGGTGACCCTCTCTCAATGTTCATTTATGCTGTGGCCACTGTCCCTCTCATATGCAAACTCAATCAGATCTCTGGTGTGACCCAATTGTGGTATGGAGATGACTCCTACGCCATTATTGGTCTCTCTCAACTTCGTGTGTGGTTTGATCTTCTAATTAAGATTGGTCCACATTATGGCTACTTTCTAGAGCCCCGCAAGAGCAGTCTGATTATAAAGAGCAATGTCTCCGTTGAAGACACTAGAGGATTCAGTGATGTAGAAGTTAATGTTGTTACTAGTTGTCGGTTTCTTGGTGGCACTATTGGAAGTGATGTGGGTCGTGACGAGTTTGTCTCTTTGAAATCTGAGGAGTGGGAACACCATGTCAATTTGTTATCTGATATAGCTAAAGACCAACCACAGGCAGCCTATGTTGCCCTGACAAAATCTCTTCAGAATGAGTGGGCATTCCTACAGAGCGTTATTCCACACTGTTGCCACCATTTCCAACAAGTTGAGAACGCTCTATCAAGTAAATTTATACCAACCTTGATTGGGCACAACATTACACCTATAGACCGCGACCTCTTCTCTCTACCCGTACGACATGGAGGACTATGTATCAGGAATCCCACTATTACAGCTGACTCACTGTACTCTACCTCTAGATGTGCCACTCGGCTGTTAGTTGATGCAATTAAAGGACAGAGCAACTATTCTTTCTCTGATCATTATGATTTAGTTTCTAGTACAAGAACAGAATATGTGACCCGATATGAGAAAACCAGGCTATCTGCGGGATTTTGGTAAAATCAGTTTTTGGTACTTACAGATAGAGAACAAAATTTCCTTTCCAGCGATATCCCATTTATGACAATGCGCAATAAAACTTTGCAGTTAGGGACGCTGTTTGGACGATTGCTCTGGAATACAAGTACAGAGAAAAAGGCATTTTAAGTTATTTTCAATGTTTCCGTGTCACGCCCGTTCACGTAGTAAATGTGACCACGCCCACCACGTAAACCACACCCAAATCAATTAATAAACGGGTAAAGAAGAAAGAAGCACTTGACAGCATTTTAACTTACTTTTCTTGCTTTTTGGACATCTTAAGAGTGATCTAAAGCCCAGCCATGCATTGAGACATCAAATACAAGTAAGTTATTTCATTACAAAAGTTGTAGAGTTATTGCTATGTGTTGTAGTGCCAATAAAGTCCTTTTTGTGAACTGTAATAACATCATCTGGGTCATTTACATCCACACATCGCTTCTGCTTGAGTTTACAGGTAATATTTTTATTTAGATTTTATTTAGAACTATAATTAAGGTTCCTACATTTAACATTAAAATAATTTATAGTTTTAGCACTTGCTGATGAATCCTATAAAAGATTATTGTTATTCTTATGTTTCATTATGTTCCTTTCCTTACTGTTGGACGAGGGGCTCCTCCTGTTCCTCCTTGGCTTCCCCCTCTACCTCCTTGGCCTCCCCCTCTACCTCCTTGGCCTCCTCCCCTCCCTCCTTGGCCTCCTCCCCTCCCTCCTTGGCCTCCTCCCCTCCCTCCTTTTCCACGCTTTCCACATTTACCCCATCCTCCTCTGTGTTGCCTTCGCTTTTTCTAAGCAAAGGAAAAATTCTAGTGATTACTCATTTCAATAATGCTCTTTTGATACTTTAAATTTTTTTCCTTTGTCTCTCTCTGTCCCTGTCCCAGTCTCTTCTCCTGTCCCTGTCTCCTCGCCTGTCTCTGTCTCTTCTCCTGTCTCTGTTTCTTCTCCCATCTCCTCACTACTCCCCATCCTCTCCCTCCTGCCCTCTTCAATGAGTTCCAACTGCCCTAAATTACAATGGCATAAAGCCTTTAATTTACACTTAAAATTAAGTTTACTTCGGAGAACAGGCCTGAACTGTTCCAAGTCTTTAGTTAAGAAATGTGAATTTAAAGTACAAGTAATTTAACTATTGTTTAATTACCTAAGGGCCTTCCTTCTTTCTTCTTGCCTATTTGTTGTAAATAGAACTAACTAAATTGAATGCAAAATTACTTTTTAGCTTAATAGTCCTTCTCATAGCTACTTCACAACAAAAATTATCACACAATTACACATGTAAATAAACTTACTTAAGCCGTTTGATTCTATTAAAAACAATGTCATGTATAGTTGTATGTTTCACCTTTTAATCTTACCATTCTTCTTTTGACTATGTCCACCCTCCTTTTTGTCTCTGTCCCCCTTCTCCTCTGTCCTCTCTCCTCTGTCTCCTTTCGTCTCTTTCACCCTTACTTCATCTTTTTCTGCTATAAATACAATTATTTTTTGCTTTTAATGTACAACACAAACATACATGTACCAACAACTTACCAAGTTCATCTACCAAAAACAAAAGGCATTATAGTTATCACTATAGGGTTACACATTCCCAACTTACCATCAGATGGATGGACCTCAATGAGGACATCCTCTATTGGGGCAGCCATTACTTTTTGATTTTGAACTTACAGTTTCAGGTGTCTTATTTTATATCCTAAAGGTCACAGGTGACACTTGGTGTTCTTTGATTGGCTGTGAATGACGCAATTACTTCTATTTCGGTATTCTCCTCCCACACATTTTTATTATCAGTCCTCTCACCTGTACAGATAAACACAAATCACCTGCATGATAACTTCGTGACTAACTTTCTCTCGGGCCTTCTCTTTTGAGTTAGTAAGTTTTAAACAAAAATGAGTGTTTGTGTTTATGTTGACGTCTCACGCACATACTAGTTCCACACCTTTGTTTTAAAAAAGGGGATCCATAGTTTGTATGTCTTAGCGTTACAAACGAGTTCCTCTCCTTTAGGGGATCAATAGTTTGAATATTTGGCATTCAAACTAGTTCCACTCCTGTTTCAGGGGATCAATAGTCTGTTTGTAGTAGACAAACTAGTTCCTCTCCTGTTGAAAGGGGATCAATAGTATGTGCATTACACAAACTCATTTCTGTTATTCATTTACTGATTACATGGACAAGTTCTTCTATTATGACCAAATTGACCACAATTACCACATTTTCTTTGTGTTGCAGGTGGTTCTAGAGATTGCCTTGGAGAATGTGGTACTTCAATCTCCATTGCGAGGTCTGTTGGATCATCTACACCTGGAGTTGATTGTCGAGATGATCCTGTTAGTCGAGGTGCATCAGGAAGTGGGCAGGTTACATCTTTACATTCGTATCTGCAAAACGGTCTTATCTTTTCGTAAAGGTACCATTTCCTTTCAGTTGACATACCCTTTGGTGGTAATATATTAGGTAGTTCATCTTCTGTTATTTCAGCGTCCTCCTTCAGCAAATTGAATTGTGTGACTGGGCCATCTACAGCTTGTCTGGCTGCAACTACACCAGGTGAGGTCGCATTTACAACAAAGTGTTGAAAGCCTTTGATGCCTTTTATTTTCTTAAATAATGTAGCAAAGTAACTACACCAGTCAAGTGTCTCTACAATGAGTTCACCATTGCTACTTCCTACTGGTTGGGCTTTGTTCACAGCAGATGATTGTTCTACAACTTGAATGAAGTCATCTAATGAGTCCACCTCTGCTTTACGGAATTTTTGCTTTAATAGTCCGAAGCACCAGTCAGGAGAAAATTTTGTGTGTCCAACTGGCAGAAAAGATATTGAAATGGACGCATTGAGTCCTGTCATGACTCTCCATAAGAGGTACTAAAATAAATAAAAATTACATTTAAAATGTTCATTATTGTGCATGTAATATACTTACTTGAATAACTGTATTATTTTTATTTTGCCCTGTGCAGTTGTCAGCATGGAAATGGATACTGACTGAGTTGAGGCCATGATTCTTCAAATAAAAATGTACCATGCTTATGACAGGATTTGCCCCTTTACCAGTGTCGAATGATTCATCGATCAAGAAATTAACCTGCTGAGGGATAGCTTCACAGCACACACCAAATATGCCACATTTCCTGGGAGTAAGAAAATAAATTGGACCTGCTTGTAGTGGACTTGAAGGATAGTGAACCTTTAAAAAAGTAAGAGAGCTAGATACACTTTCATAATTATCATAAAATGTTACCTGTTGAGCATAATCGAAGCTATAATGTGCTACAATATTTAACATAGCAAGTGGCATTGTTAGTGGGGGATTGTAATTGTTTGCTGCATCAGTATACAGCCCTTTTAACAATAATTGTGCCTCTTTTAATACATCCTTATAGTACTCCCTTTCCTTTTTAACAAGACTTCTGTGATCTAGTGCCTTTTGCATTGCCTGAAAATTCTAAATAATACTTGTTATTACAATACTGACTTACCTCAGTTATCCTTTCATCTGATTGCATGTTAGCACTTCTTATAATCAGTCAACTTATCTCTTTACAAATGGCACACAAGTCAGACATAGGCTTCATTTTTTCAATATAAGGCAGGTAGCGTCGCCACAACATGTTGAATGTTGTTTCAGCACATGCTTTGACATAAAGCCCTTCACATGATTCCGCATACTCTAAGTATACCTGCCTTTTAGATGTACTGCATGGTAAGAACTTCTTATTCTCGTAACTTTTCATTCCAGGTATTCTTCCAGGAAGACTGATTCCATGGACTTCAGCGTAATTTCTGATGAAAGCAACAACCCGGAGAATATCATTATAAGTCAAAGCATGGTTTGGTGTCTTTCCAGCATTTCCATGAACTCTAATAAAGTTAAGTACATAACATTGAATTTGTAAGTCTCATACCTTGGTATTAATCCATTCATTCTGTAGTTTTTCATGATTTCCTCAAACCTGCTTTTGCCACATGCATGTAGCTTCAGAAATGTTACTCTACATATCTAGTGGAAAAACGATTAATTTTGTGTTGTGTCACTCATAGTTACAAACCTTATGACCTTGATGCATGAACGTAAAAAATTGCCTCTTTCTCTCATTCTGTCTCCTGTGGTTGCCAGTCGACAATCCCCCCATGGTAGATGTTGCTGCCATTTGACTCATAATAGCAATTTCTTGAACAGGCTTTGCCATGGCTTGTATGTCACATCTATATGTTTTTATGTAAGAGTGACTGAACAGTGCATAGCAATTATCTGAGCAACCACATCCATGTTCAAAGAACTTTGATAATTCTTCTTCCTCCTGTAGGTCTTCCTTCCTCATGTCATCACCAGAGTGAGTAGTTGAAGTAGCTGGAGCATCAGGCATCGCTGATTCTAAATCAAGATCTGATACTTGTAGCTCCACAGCCACCTCAGGATCAAACAGTGGTGGATTAATATCTTCATCACAATCTTTTGTCTCTTTCTCTTCTTCTTTCCCTTCCTCTACCTCTTCTTCTTCCATATCTTCTACTGCTTCATAGTCTGTCTCTATCAATTAACAAATACACTGTATAACTAAGTTTATTATAATAATACTGTGCATTTATACAGGTGATGGAATGTCATTGTTGTGATAGCTAACCGCTATTCACAGTTAGTATGTAAACAGTGTTATGAATAAGCTTACCACTAGTTTCATCACAAAAGTAGTCCCCAAGAACTGAAGCAACGTAGTCACTGTCTCGAGGACCTATTTCTTCATTTGTGACCACAATTGACAAAAGGTACCTTATGGCGGATAGGAAAATTGGTCTTTATAGCCTTAAAAATCCTACTTCCTGAGCTCCATTCATCATAAAATTGCTCCAGAGGATGCAAAAAGTTACTATGTAACTTTTAGAAACAATTGTTGACTAACAGAGCACTCTCAGGCTGATATTTTTCATCATAATGATGAATTTTAAAATCCGCCATAAGGTACCTTTTGTCAATTATGGTCACATTTAACAAGCGAGCAATGTCTCTTTCTGTAGCCATAGTTTTTATAAGTAGTCTTCTTCGTCTTTGTTATACTTTAAATAGTTGCTATAGAGACTTCATGGTTACCTAATGACGCATTAAAGCCCTCCGTTTTTATTCCGTGGTCGCTCCGTGTAACATTCTCCGTGCACAATCAAGGTAAAATGTCGAAGGGCTTATAACTCGGCGAAGAAGGCTTCGCTACCCCTGATTTTGGTATCAAATGAAAGGATTTTGTTTATATAACATGTTTATGTGATAAAATGAATTTCGCCCAGGTAAAGATTTTTCGTGATTATGAGCCCATAGCTCAAAATGATAATTCCCGCAGATAGCCTGGTTTTCTCATATCGGGTCACATATCTCAAGTCTCAAGAGGTCTTCTATAGTCAAGTCTATGACACCATCTTTGATAAGTCTGACCCCATGATTCAGAGACTACTAACTAGAAACAAGCATAACCTCTCTGCTAGGCTCACAGCTCTCCCTGTTCGAAAGGATGATTTTAACCTATCTTCTGTCGAGTTTAGGGACGCTCTCTGTCTGAGATACATGAAACCATTGCTACAGTTACCACCCGTGTGTGATGGATTTAATGCTCCATTTACTACTACCTATGCATTAGATTGTAGAAAGGGTGGACTTGTTATACATCGTCATCATGAAATCAGAGACCCTTTTCATGAGCTATCCTCTCTTGTTTGGTCCTGTACTGTTAAGGAGCCAGTGATTCGGGATGGAAGCTTGTCAGATCCCCCATGTGAAACCCTCATTGCTGATTTTAGTGCTAGGGGGGTTTTGCAGCCTCAAGCCACAGCTCTCTTTGATGTACGTGTGATCAATACAGATGCCCCATCTTACATCAACAAGACACCTGATACTGTTCTTAAGAACGCTGAAAAAGAAAAGAAAATGAAATATGGTTGTGCCTGTGAAGATAGACATGCCATTGTGTATTTCCATTGATGGGCTATTGGGTAAAGAGATGGAATCCTTTGTTTGACGTCTGGCCGAGAGTTTAGCTACAAAGTGGGATCGCCAGCTCAGTACCACACTATACTGGGTAAGAGCCAAACTGTCCTTCTCACTGATTCGTGCTGTTAATATGTGCGTTAGAGGATCTCGTCATAAATGGCAGGGGATCGGTATGGAGGATGGAAATGGTATCAACCCCAGTTTTTTAAATTAACTACTTAATTAGAACTATATTTTCATTTTATTATTAATTTCTTTTTCTTTGTCCCTCTTTGCTTGTCCAGTGTTTTCTTCGTTTTGTTTTGTTTACTTTCCTGCTGTTGTTGCTTTTGTTTAATAATAATAATAATAATAATAATAATAATAATATTACGTTAGTTTTTTTATATAAATTAAATCATAACAATAATAATGATAATAATAATAATAAAAATGGGATCAACCATACGGTCAATAATCTACTGGGTTTGTAAGAGACTGTCATTGGTTCTACTGAGGGCTACAGGCCTATGTCTCAGGGGCACTAGATATAAGCTGAGGTCGATCCATTTCGAGTAAGGAACAGGGATCAGCTCTCATTCTAATGACTATTAATGACTATTAAATAAATTTTTTTTGTTATCTAAAATTTATTATTATATTCTTCTTCTACTCTCTTTCTCTAAATAAAATTACTTAACCTATTCTGTTTTAAATTTTACATTTGTTGTCTGTTCAATAATGATAATAATAATAATTATTATTTTTTAATTTGATTTAATTTAATTTAATTAAATAATAATTTTACAAGATGAACAGAAGGATGAGTACAGGAGAAAGGGATAAACGAGGGAAAAAAGACATCTTGATGGGATAACCGCAAGAGCTGCGGATACCCAGAGATAAATCACTGTAATAAAATTAGCTATAATACATTGTATTACTGTTAAGATTGGTGTGTGTGGATGCAAGTATAAAAAAAGAAATTAGAACAATAGAATAACAAGATCAATGAGAAATAATGAGAAATAATACATTTAAAAATAATAAAAATTAAATAGAAGAAAAGTACTTGATAGATTGATGTGTGATTGATTGGTGGAAAATTAGATAAGTTAACACTTGAACAGAGGCCCGAAGGTTGTGAGTCATGTAATAATCTCAGGGGGAGAATGTCTGATTCCCAGCAATAACTGGGGACTTCTCCAACACCTGAGATTACCTCCTAACGGGGAGCTGCCTTGTTCACTAAGTGACCATAGTAACCACAACACCTGCCCAAGTGTCAATGGACCTGGGCGGGGGGCTGGTGCCACTTGGCGGGACAGCTGAACGCCGAAAGGGAAGGATAGTGATAGTGACCGTAAC